CATAAAAGGAAATATAAAACTTACATAAATAAAATTATTTTCAAGTTATTATGTTGAAATTCTACACATCAGCTTACAGGCTAACTTATCGTACGATTAATAATGATTCAGCAGTTTTGCCCTAAACAAATATGCGCAGTTAAAGGCAAACACTTTGCAGCACACACTCCCAAATTTTCAGTTCATAACTTCAAGTATGGCTCGAACATGAGAGGAAACAGCGGAAAAAATTCCAAGAACCAATTAATCTGAAGCTATAACACAACGCAAAAAAAACTGATAATAAACATTAAATTTCTTAGAAGTTTTTTTAAAAAAGAGATGTGATGCTGAAATTTTAGTTAAAAATAATGAAATGCTATGAATTTAAAATTTTTTAAAATTGCTTACTTGTGTGCTTATGTATTTAACATGTGCACACTTTGATATATATTATATTTAAGAAGACTAAAATTATGTTTAATTAAAAATGGATAGGAAAAAAAGTAACAAACCACTTCATGAAAAACGCATGGTTTACTAGGCTCTAAGAAATGGGTACATCGTAATACCACAGTTCAACAGGCAGATATTTTTTCCGAAAATGCGATTTTATTAAAACCTATTGTTATAATAATCATGGTTTAGAAAAATATAGAAATTAATAGTATACTAGTTTTCAACGAAATGATGTGCAATATCTACGTTAGATTCCTCCAAATGCAGGCCAAAATGTCATCCGTTGAGAATTTCTTAATATCTTTCGACCTAGTTTTTACTCATCCTGCCTCAGTCATATTATCTCTTCATAATAGCGGATAAAATGTTTCTAAGTGAGGCATGCCAATCATAAAAGGCGACTAAAATCTATTAAGCACCACCCTGTCGCACCACACAGTTTTTTCACTTGACATCCTGGTACCAGAGGTGCAATCTGGTGCGAACTTTGGTTGTCCTAAAGGTTTATGAGAGTTGTCAATACCTAAAGTTAAAGGACTTGTATTTTTTAAACCGTATGCTATAACATAAAGAACAGCATAGGTTTATATGGATCTCGATCCTCAACATGGAGAGAAAGTTATATTGAAATATATAACTTCAATTAGTACCGACAACAATGTGTTTATCAGCGCATTATCTTGTTACAAGTGTGTTGAGCTCCCATTACAGGTAACCAAATCCATGGGAAGCTAATAGAATAGTTAAGCTTAACAACCTAGAGTTTATTTGTTATAGACTTACACCATGTCAAAGCTTTTCAGTGAAGTGGAAGTTCAAAGAACACTTTTTAACAAGTTAAGGATTAATGATAAAACTTAAAAAAATTACTTTGGTCTTTTTAAAGGTTTAATACTTTATTATTTCTAAAATATTACTATACACTAACAGACACGATAGTTAATTTCGCTTTGACATGCTAATGTGGCCTACATATGATGTCTCCTTCTCTGCGTTATGAATATTGTATTTTCATATATTAAATACATAATGGCACAAATACTATTAAAAAATTTATATTTTAGTGACTAAATTATACGGCTTTGAACAAAATACTTAACATATTTATATTATACGATATATAAGTAACCAAAAATTTATAATTAATTATATTAATTATATTGTGAAATAAATTTTGTTTTGTTTTACTAATTCTCTCTATTCATTCTGTGATAGATTATAAATTGGAAAATGAATGGATGACACATAAAAACTGTTACAATTTCTATTGTTTCATCTGTATTGATCATGTAAGAATTGATTAAATAAAATAAGTTATATAAATACGTTTTTTAATTAACCGGTAAACTCCAAATTGCTTTTAATTTTATCTTTTAAAATAATATTGTAATATTTCAGTTTTAAGAAAATTTAACTCAATCAGAGGATTCATTTAGATAAATTTAATTATTTGTGAAAGCATTCACAAATTCTTAGTTGTGTAAACATAGTAATCGGAAACCGAATAACTTGCAAACAATTATTAAACAAATTAAATGAAATATCCAGTATTATATTAACTCGGTAATTAATTGATGGCTTGTGTCATATTATTGACGAGTATAAATTTTTCTGAATTAAAAGTAAACGAATGAATTTCGAATATAATGAATATTTGTAAGTGTTGGTGAGCGAGTAATAGTGATAAGTTAACTAACCAATAACCAAAAACGAAGGTTAGGATTCTAGAACATGGCCCCTATCTTACCGGGTAGGTAACTACGAAAAGAATGGATGCAATACTCTCACCAACAACAAACATATGAAAAAATATTTGCAAACTAGTCTTAAGGTCTTTATAGCAATTACCTCCAGTTAGAATACTGTTTGAAAAGAAAATTCTAACTAGGAAATAATGTGGGGTAAAAACATTTTTTAATAAAAGCGTCCTACACGCTAATTTATAATACATATGTGTTCGAGACTCTTCCTTTAAAAACGATCTTTTTTCTATATTTTAAAAATATATAGATTTAGGTGTAGTATCAAGAAGTACAACTTTTTTAGCGTACTTAATCACAATAATAAAATTCATACAATTAGTTTGATTGACAATTAATATATATCGAAGTCGTATTATTTAGAACATGTTCCTTAACCGTTGGCAAAAAATTATATATTTTTTTAGTGTATTTACAAAAAACGTAAAACAAAAATGACTGCGTTTTTATATATGTCATTTTATATATATTTTAATTTTTTATTGTAAAATTAACTAAATTATACAATATAATTAAATTGATTATACAATATTTACTTTTTCTTCCAACTCTGTTTTTTTTTTATTAAATTATTAATCAGCTACACGCATAGATACAGACTATTTAATACAACATCTAAATAATAGTTATAAAATAAAACATCATATAGATAAACATTATTTTGATATTAAATAGTATTAAATAAGTATCGCACAATACTCGTGTATGATCCTTTATAAAATATATTTATAGATATCATGGTATTGCAACCTTAATTACATTTCTATTACTTAAGTATAAGTATTATATTCTGTAAGACAGACTATGTGATACCTTGTAAATATTGTAGTTTCATGGTATGAATGCTTAACCTATTTAAATATCTTTAACGAGCCTGTTTATCTCTTCCAATGTATGGGATCTTAAAGTTGTTTGGATCGACAGATACTACAGATTACTACAGATAAACCGGAGAGCGTTTAAGAATTTTTTAAGAGCCTTTGATTATACGAGGGTCACTATTTATATTTTGAGCCTAATAATGAAAATCTCACATTATGTTGCTTGACGATTTTGCATTATCAGTTTTTACACGGTATCAATGTTTTCTGGCACAACAACTGATTTTGAATGACCTCTACGAATACCTAATTTCGTTAGTGAGCGAATTGCGGCCACGATTGAATTCATTGTACCAGCGTTTCACTGTGGTAAAGGATGGAGATTACAAGTCAAATGTGGAAGTAAGTTGATCGATGCACTCTTAAATATACCTTCAAATATATTATTCGCTTGTATTAAAAAATTAACTGATACCTAATATAAGATACGAGTATTATACGTAAAACAAAATTGATATATTTTTGAGGCAAGTTACAACCAATGCTAATAGAAATGATAATATCTGCAATATGTTAGTCGCAACTTATAAAAATATCATTGTTAACAACACAACGAACACAACATATTTATATTGCTACGTCACAATGAACGGCTTATTTGTTTTTGAATGATAACCGAAGGGGAATACAAACATATAGGTATAATAGATACTATGATAAAATGTATGTTCTAGTTGTTCAATTTATATAAGTTATCAAATTAGTATTCTGGTTATCATCAGGCATGTCTAAGCAAACATTGAAATGATTAGTAAAGTATTATTATTCTTATTAAATAAATTGTTTATGAAGTAAAACTATCGTATGTTCAATATAACCCATTGAAGAAAGTCTGTGGTATGATTTATATGCACTTTGATAGTAAATCGTTTTCCTTCCGTTTCCTTTCTAGCATTTATTCAGGCTTAGAAATAAGAAATAGATGCTATAGGTCTAAAAAAAGAGCCTTAGTATATTATACTTATAATTGAGTTATTTTATTGGAGTTTCTCATAATACTGCTTTGCAGATTGCGACCGGCTGTCATTACATATCACATGTTGACCATCTTTATGCAAAATCTAAAACGATTCTTGTAAAAGAGCATAATCAATTACATGCGAAAGTAACATTTTTTTGTGCACCACACAGGCGTATATCTCAATGGCATTATGTTCGATCTCTTCATATTATAGACATATCAACACTTATCGCAATAGACCTAAAATCATTGAGGTCGAATATAAACATGGACTTACAACTCTCGAGATCACGATTGCACTACAACAAAGTTCTCGATAGGTCCGTCTTACGTTTCCCAGAAAGACCGACAACTTCCCCGTGCAGCAAAAAATGTACTAGCTCAATTAAGATCAGTTTAGTTACTTGCTACGCATGAATTTGTAAACTCCCATTATAAGCCACAACTGCACTCGCCCATCAATTTTTGCTGTTACAGAGTACACATAAAACTGAGTCCAATCAATCTTTAAATCTACCTCAAAGAAATAACTCCTTCTTAATCCTGGTTGACTTAAATTCAAATTTCACCCATTTTCATTCCACAATTTACTCTTACTCCCAAATAATCTTCTCCCCTCTTACACAACCAAAACACCATCACATCCTAACCCATGTATTCCTATCATGTTATCTGTTTTACAGATCCTCGCGGTCTACAAAAACAACATTGGATTTTCTCCAAGTATACTACAAGAGATTTTCTTGGCCGCTATGTGCCATTGTACATTCTAACCATTTTAGTATAGTTTAACCAATATACATACATATATAACATATTATTAATATAAATTGTAATAAGAAACTAAATATAGTAATTAAAAAATATGTTGATATAAAAATTTATTATAAAAAAAAAAAACCGTGTGAAAATATGAATTTATTTTTTTTTTTTTTTGTTTTTGCAATAATCAAATTTTACCTTAGCGTCCTTCGGTTTCTCATTAGTTTATTTATAGTTGAACGCATTTTTAGTTAATATATTTATGAAACATATCTTAGAAACACACTCACACATGCATATACATATATATATGGAAAAATCAAAATTTTTGTTGCTAGAATAGCTGCACAATTTTTTTTTATAATTCGTAGGCGGCAAATAGTCGTAGAAATAGTTTAGGGATATTGAGTAAGTTCATTTCAGTAACATATATTGCCTATAGATTGATAACTGTACATATAAAAATAATAGCAATAATTTATTTATAATTTAATTACATGTTTCATTTTAAAATTAATTTAAATAATTTCGTTTTACTATTTGTTTACTCTTTTCGAACTTCGTCCCACTTTTGCTGCAATCTGTTCATTCTACATCAACAATTGTCAGAAGTGAAAGAGACACGCTTATTATGCAATCTATATGCGGAAATGAAGCACTAGAATGTGTTTTATTGTAGCCGCTAAAGGAAAAATTATTTATACACATGCTTTTATTTTTAATTTCCACAAATTTTATGCACTAATTATTGACAAATTAATGTAATTATAAATTTAATTACCTGAATTACAAAATTATTAATAAGATATTAAATTTGGCGTCGTTTAAATTTCGAAATCTTTTAAGTAAATATATTTTATATTCGTTTTAATCTTCTGTGATTAAAAACACATCTTATGCAAAAAAGGAAAAATAGCCGATTTTAAGAACTTCGAATTTTGTTGTACAAATCATTCATGGTTACCATTCTATCTTGCATAATTAGTATGTTTATTAATTTCAATTTCAAATAGGTAAAAATCGAATTATTTATTCACTTATAATTTCTCTGACCATATTTGCACACTTTTACGTTACTTGTTTTCACAGTGCACTTTGCACAACTGAACAAAAAAATCGTTCACCTCTGATATAAGACAGTGATAGGACTCGAATCACGTGGATATCTCTTTCTATTTGACAGCAATCAAAATACTAGTGTTATAAAACGATAATATTTTCTAATCGATAAGTTTTGAAGACAACCCTAAATTACGTGTGAATTAGCATATTTTCTGGCGTAAAGATTGAATTAGGAAACACGATAAAATGACAAAATTTTAAGTGTTTGTTTACTGAAATTACAAAATTACTGATTTACCGAACTACTAATTACTGAAGCATCAGGTCTAATTGTATTTTGGATATTTGGTGAAACATCAGCTGATTCTTGTTATTCTAAAATTCTGCACAGCATTTAAAATTAATTTAAAATTTAAAATATTTGAGGAAATAATAAAGAAATATTGATAGGATAAAAACATTAAATAAAATTAAAGTTTTATTTTAATTATGAACATTTTTTTCCACTCTTTCTTGCTATTTTCTTGACTTTATATACAATAAAACAAACAAAATCTAACTCAATGGTTTTGATAATACCAACTTCGGCTTTACCAAGAAATAATTAAAAAGGACATGCAGGGATTTGCCATTTTATCACTTCACCGAATACCGAGTAGCTGTTTGACGTATGTATACTCCTAGTATATTAATTTTACATGATTCATACCCATTGTTGAAAATCGTAATTTTATCAATATTTTATTACAAATATTATCAGATCTTAGATTGGGCAATTCAATTATTTAATATTTATTTATATTAACCTTCATGAAAAAAGTTTCACGTAGGAAAAAGGGTGCCACCAAAGTTCTGTTAAGTATTTAAAAACAATGCCGAGCAATACATTTTACTTTCCAAAGAAGCATCTTACTACATTTATAAAATGGACGTCATTATAAAACGGTTCCATGTTTCTCCGGATATTCAAAATTAAGAATCAGAGTGGATAGCTTAAATAAAATTAAAATAAATAAAATAATTATCACATAAATGTAATTACAAACTTTCTTAATATACTTATTATAAGTTATCGTAAAGTAATCTCATTACTTTCTACGATAAGAAAGATTTACTTTAATACAATATTTTTATTGTGTGCTGGTTTGGTGAATTATCGCCGGTTGAAATGACGTCGAACAGTCAATTGCTTGGAATATCATAGTCAGATTGAAGAACCCACCCAACTTCTATAGAATAGAAGAGCTACTATGCTGTTGTATGCATAAAACGCCTTAAATGGACAGATGAACTAGATAAGTTTTAAGAGCGGACAATTATGCGGCACATAGCAACTCATGAAGTTTGCGCATGTTTTACACAATTATATCTTAATCTGAGTTTACATAACTTAAATACAACCTTTAAGTGACAATTAATTAAATATGTATTTAAAAGTAAATAATATTTGAACTTTTTCGGTTATTTATTTATACTATGTTAAACTAATCATAAATTTGAAAATCAATGCACTTAATTTAAAGCTGCAGTTGTCTTGGCACTCTCGTGTCGAATAGCATTTATTAGTTCATAATTAACAAGAAAAACGAAGCGTAAACCACATATCTGAAATAAAAAATTGCGTGGGTAAAAAGAAATTATTTCAGATCAAGTATTTAAAATAAGTGTCACTTACTTCTACCATGCAATTGTTTGAAAGACGTGTTTTGTTGCCTGAGAGCAGAGGAGTGCCATCAATAAAAATTGGTCGTCTACCTTCATTAGAAATGAAGAAATCGCCATTGCTACGCAATTTAATGGTACCTTGGCGACGTGAGATTTTAGATGCCGAACCCTCCAATGAGAGATTTACATCAACAAGACAATCTCTTGCATCCCGACCAAATGTTATTTCTTTGGAACGCATCAAATACCGTACAAGACGTCCGCGTAATATAGCCAATGTTTGACTATCAAACTCAGGAGCTGTAGCAATACCAAGTATGGAATCAACAAGCACATTCCAACGGCTGAGTTCGTTCTCAAGTATACGTATTTCTCTCTTATCTCGACGATCAGCTAATGCAAGTTCAATTTCAAGAACTTCGTCACGCGGTTCCAAGGATTCATTATCCACCACTATTTCCTCTGCATCAGAGAAACTCATTGGCTCTAAGTTATCACAAAGTGGTCTTATGTCTTGATCAGGTAAAAGCAAATATTGCTTCATTTTATGCCAATGACATTGCAATGATTTTGCTGTACGAGCCTTATAAAAAACAGTGCGATACTTATTCAGCAATTCCTCAAATTGTTCTAGTTTAGGATTGTCTTTCTGTAAATAAATTAAAAGTACATGTAAAGAACCAATTAATTTTTATTCCGAACAGAGCAACTTACACTTTTAATTGTACCCAGTATTTCCTCTTCTGCTACACTAAACATAGCTTTACGTTGAACTGATTCAATTAACTCCGGATGCAAATTGCGCATTGCAGCGATTGCAATTCTTGATATTGCTGGCTCATGTAATAAAGAAGACCAACGGCTCTGCAACTCATGCAAAGTAAATTTGCACGAAAATTTCACACCACGGTGTACAACACGTATATCATTTGTTAGAAGTATATTTGTGAGTAATGCGAGATCATCGATAGGTTTAAAACGCCCGAGATCCCTAACTGTATACACATTAGCTGTACGACCATTCTTCTTTGATCTTCTATTCATACGCGGCTGGCGACGTCTATCAGCCATTGTTGAACTTGGATTACGCTCGTATGCAAGACTTTGCAACGATGGTTGTGGGATATTTGCAGCAGCACTATTTGCTATAACTATTGGTGGTGTTGCAACACTTGATGCACTTTCTGATGAATTTTCTTTTTTTGTCAACACCTCAGGTGGTACAAGCCCTGGTTGAAATACATGCGCTAGGAACGGTAGTGTAGGAATTCGCCCACGGCCGAATCTAGTTGGTTCAGCTCGTGACTGTGCAACACTTATACTGTACTCCACTATTTCATCATCAAACCTTTTGCGCTTAATTGAACGGGACGAACTGTAAAGGCATAAGAATATGTATATATACACAATACATTTAGTAGGGTGGATGCATAAACATTCAACTGAAAAACATGCCTTCTTCGATTTTGACTATTTTGTAATTCAATCGGTAATCTTTTTAAAATCGGTGTTGAAATAATTGATTTTTCCACATTATTTTGCTCCGCTAAATTCGGAGTATTTACAGTTTCCATTATAAAAAACTAACTCAATCAATCTTCTATAACTTGTGTTTGCACTGCGTAGAAGAAGCAAACGAAGATTGGGAAATGTCAAAACGCGAGATGGCGTGTGCAGTGCTGCAAAATGTTTCAATAAAAAGAAAAATATTCTTACCTGTCATCCATCTTAAAGCAGTTAAATTGCGAAACAAACTGAAATATTAACAATTAAATAAAAAAACGAAATGTTAGTTAGTTATTGAAATGTAACAAATGTTAAAAAGAAATTCCATTACAAATATTTGATTAAAATGGAAAATTAAACAGCTCTCAGAAGTACATAACTCCACTTACAGCCTTCCGGCACGAGCACAGTATTCGAATGAAAATAAATAAATAACTGCAAGTATTTTGTTGACGTTTTGACTACCTTTGTGTGGTACACTGGGCGCATGTGCGAAACTATTTATATTTGACATAAACGACAAAACTTTTTATTTTTAATGAATAAAATAGTCTGTTGACATTTTATAAACTTCGTTATATATATTTTAGTACAAATAATATTATTTAAAGAAGTTTAATTGAAAATAAAATGAGGTAAGAGTGTGTGCGGCTACAAGCAAAGTGTCGCTCCAATTATGACTAATCGATTAAGTGCAACTAAGGAAAAATTTTATTTAAAAATTTCAGTTTAGCTCAACAATATTTTGAGGATAGTCCACTTTCAGATAGCAAAATGGATATATCTGATTATCCATCAATGGACATATCGTTAGATTCGACTGGTGCATCCCCTGAAGGTGAAGACGACGCTGTCGAACTAAGATTGCAAATTTATGAAAATCAAAATAATGGCACAGAAAAAGTTAAAAACACACAAAATGAAGACGATATTAAAAATATTGTGTCATTAAAACTGGATAATAGAATTGCACGACCGGAAATCCTCTTGCTAGACACTACGACTCAAGGGAAAAATATTGCCAATCGTACGCTAGCTAATAGTCATCCACTAATGTCACCTAATGGTACAGATTCAGAATCTGAAAGAACACACAACCGGGTTGAAAATGAACACAAATGTCATAACTTTCCAGATGTGGTACCACGAAATGAGCACTTACCTTTGCAAGTGCAAAGTAATGCATTCAATTTTAAAAGTGTTAATGTGCTTGCCGGAAAAGGTGCGTCGGCTCCTACGCACAATAAATTAGCACTTTTACGCACGCACAGTCCTGATTTACTGAGTAGTGAATCGGAAGCTGATAACTCACAGTATCACGCATCTGTGGAATCGAATTTTCAAGCAGTTGCCTTAGTGCCGAATGTAATTAAATCTAACTCAAGTAAATGTGCAATGAATTCGACGAAATTTGCAAATCTGCGTATTGGATGCGAAGATATATCATCGTTAGACTCCATATCAAATCATAGCTTTGATGAAAATGAAGATATTGAGCATAATTTAGCTTCACTTAGTCCATCTAGCTCAATGGATGGGTTGGACATGGAAGATGATGACGATGATGATGATGATGATTGTGAAGGACCGGAACTTTTACCAGATGGGGATGACGATGATTTTGATGGCGTGCAAACACCAACACCAAACATACGCAATGGTTCGGCTACAAATATGTTGCCACAATATACAGCAGACGAAGAACGTCGGGATTCGCGTAATTGGCAAAAAATAACATTACCTGATGGCAGCACAAGAGAAATAGATATGCGTGTTATTGAGCCATATAAGCGAGTTTTATCGCATGGTGGTTATCTTAAAGCAGGAGGTCAAAATGCTATAGTTATTTTTTGCGCTTGCCATTTGCCCGATCGTTCTCGTACTGATTATAATTATGTGATGGATAATTTATTTCTCTACGTTGTTAAAACTTTAGAACAATTAGTAACCGACGATTACATACTAATATATCTGCATGGAGGTTCAAATAGACGAAATGTTCCACCCTTCCCATGGCTTAAAAGGTATACATTGCGAATAATTGAATATATATTAAATTAATAAAAAAATAATTATAGGTGGTATCAATTACTTGATAGACGTTTACGCAAGAGTTTAAAAAATTTGTATTTAGTGCATCCCACATTCTGGATAAAATCCATTGTATGGATGGCGCGACCTTTTGTGAGGTGAGCGTATTAGGTATATCTATGCGTTTATATAATGTATTATTGCTTTTCTGATTTTTAGTGCAAAATTTTGGCGAAAACTTATTTACGTGAAATCTTTACAAGAACTGGGCACACATGTCGCTGTTGAAAAGGCTGCAATACCAGAAAAAGTCAAGCAATACGATGCAAAACATAACTAAGTTATTTTATATTAAAATGCAGTTATATAAAATGCAGGAAAAGGCACACATATAGACATATAGTATTTAGTTAAATGCAAATATATTTTAAGATTATAATGTATTCATTTCTTATATATAAAAAAAGAACAAATATTAGATAATTGAAACTGAAACTAAAACTAAAACTGTCGAATGTAGTTGAATGCAATATGTTTTAAGTTTATCAAAAATCGATCTCACAGATCTCACACAGAAGATTAAATGTACCAGTTGGCTGCATAAAGGACCAATGAGAATGCATTATTGATATTTTATTTTCATTTTAATTAAATAACGATATAAAAATTTCATCCGTAATAACGCAGTGACAATATTCATTTTTAAACATATATTAACTTAATTATATTTTAAAATTAAAATTCCGTTGCACATTCCTTAAATGCAAATTGTATTTGTTTTTTAGAAAATTAAGAAAAATGTGTTTATAATCATAATCGAAGAACTAATAATTTTAGGACTTAATGTAACTATTTGTTTTATGATTGTAATATCTACGATCTCAACTTTTTAAATACTTTGACTTGAATTATTTTATATTTTATGCTAATGGTATAATTACAAAATTACCCTAAAATTATTACATATATTTAATATAATTAATGTTAAAGTTTTCATTTTACATCAAATCATATATAAAAACTCTCTGAATATATAAGAATATTCAGTTTGACAAAAATCATTAAAAAATTGATCTTAACAAATAATTTAAGTATATTGTAACATTTATGTAAAAGTAAATCTTTCTAAAAATGCTGAAATTCTCATATTATACATCGAATATATGATTAGTTACAAATAATATTTAATTCAACTATATTCGATTCATTGAAAACATAAAGTTATATATATCAAACAATTCAAATTATTATATGTATTAGCATAATTGCAAAATATATTTATTAGCTAAATTTATTCATATAACATAGATGTCATGCATAAATACATAATCGCATATATAAATAAGTAGATAAAATAATCAAATATAATCAATGCAACCGCATACCACCTTCCTACTTGTTACCTTATCTATTCCATTATAGCAAAGTTATGAAACGATATACATAGGTATGTAATGTAATGCTTTAGATACTCTTTACCATAACACATACTTTTCTATATTATACATTAATTCGTACATATATATGTATATATACATATTTATATATATTCATATAAGTATTACTACAAACAAAAGACCGTGTATTAAGCTAGAGACTATAACGTATTTGATATACACAAAAATATATTAAAAATAAAAGCAATTCATGATATAAAAATGTTTATTTCTTATATATATAGAAAAAACTATACATGAGATAAATGATATATGTATATATTTATAGAAATATCGGCATAATGTGATTCACAACATATGGCGTCAGTTATCAAATGTACAAGTGCGAGATTACTTTTAAAATTCGTATCCAAATTATGATGATTATTTAAAGCATCGTGAGGTTCTGTACATATAGTAGCTTTGTTGTGCAACTAACTCATACTAATTTAACATTATTTAGGATGTTTAAGAATTATTAAATATTTTTACATTAAAGACATTGAGTTTCGATGAAGAGTGCCCATCTGACCCTCAAATAATATTTCATTAACGAATTTTTCTGCGAATATCTGTTGTTGTGGAGACATTTTCTGCAACTTAGTTGCCCAAACATCTGCAATTTTATTGCATTCCTGTGACTGTGGCTGCATTCGTTTTGATAGACTGACATCGTTGACCTCAGTTACTGGATTCCATGATAATAAATTCTCCTGTTGTTCTGGGTGTGATTGAATTAATCTAGAAGAACTAGCAACATTTGGCTCAAAATCTTCATTCTCTCTTCGCTTTTTTTGAGGTATACTTATTGTAGATATCTTAAGATTTTCATTTTCTCTTTTTAACTGCATGGATTTCAATTTATTTGCTTTTTGTGAGCTTTTCTCGTTTTTCTCTTTAATTGTTTTAAATATTTGATCTCGATTTTCGTTGGACAGTTTCAATTCAGATGAGTTTGATGAGTTTGCCTTAACCGAAGAATCTACAATAATAATTGGTCTCTCTTGAATTTTATTTTTCATTTTTGATCGCGATTGTTTTAATTGTGTTAAATTTCTTTTAACTACGGTATTTACTCTTCCTTTTTTCTTTATTTCAATTCTTTTAGATGTTAAAGGATCTTTTGTTTCAAACACTGGTTGTAGTAAACTTAATGGATTAGGATCAACTACAGTTTTAGCATTTGAATTGTTCCAATCTCTGGTTTCAGATAAGAAAACATCTGGCTCCAACTAAAAAATAAACCACAATTTTAAATACACGTATATTTTTTAATGATTTCAAATACTTAAATTGATCTAGTTGATAACAATTGTGACCTACGTGTGTTTAAAAAGTGTTTAATTTAATATTAAATACCTTACAAATTGAAATCGCATACACATACCTTAATATAACTTTCTTCGTTGCAATCCTTAATAATAACTGGCAAAGTAGGTATATTGTCTATTATTTGAAGGAAACTTAATGGTTCATAATACCATGCAGTTGATTTGTTTAAATCTTCTTCACGAACCACATTTTGATTTAGTTCAAACAAACGTTTATGTTCGCGTCGCCAATTAGTCCGCCATAGATTTATTTTTGCTGTAAGCTCACGTTTGTCAGCTGTAGGAAATCTTTCTCTATATTTAGTCAGCAATATATTATATTGTTTTTCTTTTTCATATTTATCCTTATACTCCATGCATTTCACATTCCACAGAGCTGGAAGCCTTTTATACAATTCAATCACTTCAAGAACAAAATTTAATAGAACAGCATCAGTCTTTTCCATCTTGCTCAAAAACACTGACGATTCTAATGCACAAACACGACTAAATTAAATATTATCAAACGTCAAATTTTGCTAGCCAAGCCAAATATCTTTATCTGCTGTCAAAGAAAGTAAAAACAGAATGTGCAGCAGTCAAAATTTTAAGTAATTTGATGGAAACTATACAAGGTGATACCAGGATATGAAGAGTGAATTGAATTGTTGTCAACAAAACTAAATATTGTTTTTCAATTTATTTACAATGTTTAAAATTTACTTTTGATATTATGTATTGTATCTCTATTTCAAGAAGCTCAGCAAGTAATGATTAATATTATATTATTACTAAACCTATAATACGAGTAAATTTTATTTACGTGTAAAGTAATATACGTAAACATTTTGTTTTTACATATCATATATATCATATGTACATATTATTAATAGTTTAAAATCTCTATAAAACATTAATATACGGATTGGTGGGAATAAAGTTAGTTGAATGTAGTAACGGTTAATTTTCCCGCTGGGATTGAAGGAAGTATTTATTATTTGACACAAATACTGCATAAATTTGATTGCACAAATTGTAATGCTTATAAAATTTTTTTTTTTTTAATGGTTGAAGTCTAAATTAAACTTTTATTTTATTTGACAAGATAATGTTTATAATGTGAAATTTCATTGAATAAAAGTTGAAAATTAATCCGTCAAATTTTCAAAACATCGCATTTATATAGCAGAGACGTCAATTTTAAAAATATATAAATATATAAAATAAAAAAATGATTTGCAAAAATATTATATATTTATTTGTGAGTTAACATTAATATTAATTTTAAAGTTAACTAAGAATAAGAAACTGGACTGTTAGAACCTTCATCCATGTAGGATTATTAAGTTTGTAATCAGAGTTGAACTCAAAATTTTACAATGAAGTATTATAATATATTTATTTTTAAATTTTGGAATCATATGTCGGCATCCTAATTATATTAATTCGGTTTCTCTGCAATTCCATGATATTTTATGTTGCATTTCGTGGCCATTAAAATGTCTAGTTTCTTAAGTGTGCGAATATAGTCTCAATCTGATAGTTTCTTGGAAGATGAGTTGTTTATCTTTCGGCCGAGTTAGATCCTGGTCCTTGTAACGGTTTTGAAGATTTTGAAAGCAATTCAGCTTTTTGAATGCCTTATGTCAGAGTTGACCGGCATTTGGTCGTCTAACAAAAGTATCTCCATCCTCGTATGTATCTATGTGTATGTTTGTTTTAAGAGATTGTAGCATTCAGCTCTAAGGAGTTTTGGGATTGTGTAATTGTGTAATATTATTATTCATTAATCTTCAAAATGCCACACACCCGCATTAAATATTGAAACTTATTATTTGAATACTTGGTGGTTATTTATTAGTAATTGAAAGTTAATAGTAAATTATTTTTAATACCCACAACATCAAAATCAGAAATTTTGATGATTACATAGAACACTTTCCTATTTATATTGGATAATAAAGTAATTTATCGCTTTAATGCAGTATCACTCTTAAAATTTCAAGATGGATCAAGGAGTTGGTATTAATATATGAAAATTTATGTCAAGATTTGAGCTACATCAACACTCAAGCGATACAAAAGATCTGAGCAACCTGCGTTTCAAATTTCTATGCTCATCTAATTATAACACTCAGTTTTTCAAAGTCCAATCACCGGGTAGAGAACAATCTATAATTTTCCCAAATTTAGAGTTTGTATAATACAGACGAGTGTTTAATATTAATTTTATATATTTTTTTATACTGTTTAAGATTTGTGTGAGCAATTAAAAATATCTCAAAAATTTGAAATACAAATAGAGTAAAATTTGGATATTTTTTATTGAATTCATATAATCTAAATTTTTGGCTTAACATCAATAAAATAATATTAATTCCGTTTTAAGATGTAAACGTTTTTTAATAAAAAAAAATGCAAACATTCAATACTGACACATTTCTTAAATAATATTTTCAATAGTTCTTACAAGTCTCAGGTATTTATTTTGAAAAATTAAGAAAAACAAATATTCTTTATTATAAATGTTATTTTTATTTTTTAATTTCTTAAACAACCAATTGATATATTGTATTAATTTAATTTCATAATTCTAGCAATCACTAATATATTGATAAACATTAGCGAAATTGCAAACACTTAAAATTAACAAAATTTTCAACGTGTTCTCTACAATCCTTTAGGAACACATTCATTTTTAATATTTTCTCCAACACACTGCTAAAAAATTATTATTATGTACAAGTATATATATCAAATATTACCTCTCATCAAAGTTCCTAAAGTGGAATGAAACTAGGTAGATCAATAATTTTGGCCTGTTGATCTGCATTTTCAACATGCACCAAATTTTTATCATTACTGCTTACGTCTAATAAAGTTGGAGCACAATTTTCTATTTCATTTGCTTTAATACCTCCGCAGAAGTAACGTTCGGTTATTGATTCCGGTTTCTGATCTGGTTTCTTTTTTTTTAAAATCCCATTTGAACTGGGTGCAGGTTTTGTACTTTCTGGTCTTCGATTTATTTTCATATGTCCATTCGTACGAAATTTACAATAACCACACTCTTTAGTTTTGCATTCACCGTTGCGTTCAAATTCTGGACACGTGAATATATGGCGTTTTTTACACTTAAACAATGGTAATGAATAAAAAAACATATATTAATAGAATAAATTTTAATTAATTACACCAACACTACCTCTTCGGCAAGTGGACAATATCCGCGTAGAAAATCTTGACAAATCTCAGTCTTGGAATTCAGTTTCTTATGTAGATAAGGACATTTTTCTCGAACACAAGTTCCTTGCAAGTAGAACTTACAAACAGGCATTTTCGAGTAGGATATATTATGCGATAGGAGACATTTATCATTCTCACACTCACCTCGTAGAAATCTACAAAAAGAAGAAATGATTAATTCAATTTTCATGACCTTTGGTTTTAAAAATATACTTAGGGCAGATAATGATTTGCTGCTTATCGTGTTTCTTACTGCATTTACCGCGCTCATGAGCAACACATTTGCCTATGCGTTGGAATATGGCACATGGCACATTGTTTTTAACAAATCGTTTAGTCAATTGTTGGACACTACGTTGCTTAGCACTATTTACGTGTGCCATTGTTATGTGATTACTCGTCCGTATAAAAGTGTTTCTAGTTGCTGAAGCTATGTAAGTTAGACCACCTATATCAATCCGTTGTCGAGGTTTAATATTGGTAAATTTGTCGTTTGGTATTTTATCTATCATATCATTTGCATTGACCCGCGTTAGTTTATGTCCCTTTGCATCCATTTTAAATTTCGTTCCGCGTATTATCAGATAGCGTGAACTTGTTGGACTCTTCTTTGACACTTTTGCATCTGGAGGAATGCTCTTCGATTTATTTTCTAAATGATTGAAAACTAAGTCTTTACGTTGTAGCTTATTTTGTGTTGATTTATAGAGCACACCATTTATATTTATTAATTGAAGTTTTTTATTTTGACTATTTGAAGCATTTAAAATCCCACTATTCCTAAAAATATAAGTTATAGTCAACATTTGCATACGTTAAGTAACTATTACCTGGGAAATGATGGTTTTTTCATTTTCATTTGTATAGCACGACGGTGAGCATATTTGGCTACAAAGCAGCGATGCCTGGTCTTTGGTAATGGGGATGATGTGCATATGTTCAACGATTTTGCAATTGTATTATCTAATTTATAGTTCTTACGCACAGCTAACGGATTGTGATTAAGTTGTTTGGGCATTACTTTATTAAGTCTATGTATTGGTAATGTAGAGATTGTTGTACTGGGGTTGTAATTATTTATATTGTAAGTTTTTTGTGGTGTGCAGCGCACAAGAGTTCGTCTATTAAGACTAATTAATGGTGGTAAATGTGCACTCCCGCTTGATGATGTCTTTTCTACCATCGGTTCTCGAACCAACGTTGTACGTGATTTCCTTATAATTTTTCTGCAAACATTCTGCGGTTTTGGAAATGTTTCTCTGAAATGTTGGTCAGGAGTTATGTTGGACGATGCGGTTATTGTGGCTGTGGCTGTTGCAGAACTTCTTATGTTATTGTGATACTGTGCGCTGGTGTTATCTCTTGAATTTTGTTCTGCTTGTACTGGCCAATGTTCTGCAATATGGGGCAAAAATTGAGGATTCATATGAATCACTGTGGAGAGAAACAATGGATTAACGTGTGTTGCTTTTGCTGGCACAGCTGGATTGGTTGAAATTCTGTCTTTAAAATTTGGATTAACATAAATCATCCTTTTTGGAGTCGAATTTTCATCAGGTAGCATGTTTAAAAAATTTTATTTCACAATATCCAAACTGTAAATTTTTTACACAAATTTATGTAGAAATAGAAATTATTAAAACGTATGTGTATCCAGCGATCACAAGGTAGCACTGATATTTTATTTTGTCACTTATTGAACAGAGTGTCTCTTATAAATAAAATACGTACAGAACACAAAAACTAAAGCATGCTATAGACCAGAGAATATCTTTTAAGATTATTAAGATTTTATTATTTTATTATATAGTTAACGTTGAATAATATATTGCAATTAATGCCATTTCACTTACATTTTATTTCAGTATTAAAATATTTTTCAAATAAAATGAAAGTTTATTTGCTTTTTTTAAGTTATACTTTTATTCACAAATTTTTGACTTATGATTGGAATATTAGTTGAAATTTCCACTGAAGGTTCACAATAGTTCGCCTGTCGCGTTGATATCACTTTGTCTTTAGTAGCCAAAGTCATTGGCCACTTCACAACTATGTACTTACATAGTGAAAGTAATGTTGTTTTGCGTAAATTTAAGCAACTATAGACCAACAACTTACTGTTTTTTGCCACACTTGCAAGCCACCAAAAGCACCTATTGACATTTTCATATTGTATATGGATAAAAAATAAAAAAAAATGAAAAAAATAAGAGATATAATAATAAATATAAATAACTTAAAATAATTCATGGTATCAATTATTTAGTGTAAAATAAAACACTTTTTTTTTATTCATATACGTATTTAGGACGTGTGCGAGTTAGGCTAAGTTGATACTAAACCAAATGGGAGATTTTTTGGAATTTTTTGCACTGCACACATTTAGCTATTTATCAACACGTATCGACATCACTACATTCTCGGCACAACTTAGAATTTCTCTTATTTAGAACGCAACATAGCCTAACTCGCACACGTCCTTATTTGACATACTATGACTTGTATATTATAAAAATATTTTTTTATAATATGGAAAATTATTTCATACATTTAGTGCAATAATTCTATCATCAATACAACCCTGCAATAATTATGGCAATTTTGACATTATTCGCCATCTTGGGTTTTAACTAGTCGCGCACACTATTACATTTCTTTCTTTCCGGTTCAATCATGGTAAGAATATGTTTTAATTTAGTATCGCGTTTCAAATTTAATGTAATTTATTATATTTTGAAGATATAAGCCCAATACAAAATAAATATGAAGAAAAGTAAAATGTTTTAGAAAAACAAAGGTCAGTGTGCTTTGTGAAATTTATTTACAGTTGCAATATGAATTTCACGTGGTGTGATACACATTCGAGTGTTGACGTTTGATAAGTTGCTAGATGGGCAAAAATAATTTTTTTTTTTTTGTAATCTTTCAAAATATAAGTTTATTATATTAATATATGTTTATTGGAATCATATATGGTATATATTTTTATCAATTTGCTTTTAGCCTTTCGAAAGGTTTGTTCAAACTGGCCGCATTGCCAAATGCTCAGCGGGAGCCTTAAAGGGCCGTTTAGTTACCATCGTTGATGTTATAGACCAAAATCGAGTAAGTAAAAAAACTAATTTAGTTTGTACAATAAAGTTCGTGTGATGAAAATGACTTCTTGATAGGAAGTGCCAACTGATACATAACTGAAGCTAACACACATTCTGAAAATGAATTTTAATTGCTTAAATATATTAATTGTGTGTACGTTGATTTAATGAGAATAATATATTTTCAGGTACTCATTGATGGACCACTTACTGGTGTCCCACGTCAAGAATATAGATTGAATAATATGCACTTGACAAAGTATCGCATCAAATTTCCATTCACTGCACCGACAAGGATCGTGCGTAAAGCTTGGGTAGACAGCGATTTGAAAAATCAATGGAAGACTAGTGCCTGGAGTGCCAAGGCAACAAATGTTTATAAGGTAAATATATAAAAATTTTAACAATCAATATTCATAAATGTGTGTGATGAATTTGAAAGTTCTTGATAGGAATTGCCGACTGATACATATCTGAAGCTAAATACTAATCTGAAAAATTACATTTATGTTTATTTTTTCTATTTTTTTTTTAGCAGTGATTAACATATGTTTTTTTATTTTTTATATTGATTAGCGTTCACAACTGAATGACTTCGATCGTTTTAAATTGCGTTATGCTAAGCGCCAAAGGAATAAGTTACTTACTGTTGCCTTTAATGCTTTGAAAAAGCGTACAAAAGATGATGGTACTCCTCGTGTTCTCAAAAAGGATAGACGCGACCGCATTCGTGAATTGAAAGCCAAGGGCATCAAAAAAGGAGCTGCCAAGAAGTAAAAAATGAACGACAGAGCATTTGTACTAGTAGCTACGTGCAAAAAATAAAGTTATTTTTTAAGATAAAAATTAAAAATGCGTATATTAAATTATGAAATGTTGTAGAAATGGCAAATAAGTAAGATATTTCAATAGTTTTATTTTGTTTGACTGGAAGTATGGTATCCTTTTTTATTAAGGTATAAATTCGTAATCAAATTTTTTAATACTGGTTGCTAATGTGTTTGTATTATGTTTTATTTTCTCGTGGTTTTTTTGTTTATTGTAGTCCATGTATTTTCTTTGTTCACTTCCTGAACGTTGAAATAACAAGTGCTGTAACTTGTAAGGATCTAAAAAGCAGGTAACATAAAAGGAATTGCAAAGTGGTATATATTGGTTAGAATATGGTTAAAGTAATGGTAATGTGAGCGGTGAGGAGAATTTTTGGGAGTAAAAATGGGGCATTTGTAGTCAATTACATTTACTTACGAGATGTAAAATTCATCGTTCATAAAACCATAAGGTTAGTTAGTAAAAAGTTCCAAGAAGGATAACATTACAAGTTTTATCTATGTAAACTGTCATATGTTTAGTTATTTTTTAACCAAGAGTCTGCAATTTAAAAAACAGATTTTTTGTTTCAGATATTCGTCCTTAGACAGGAATATACAATTCCTTTATTAGCGAGGGAGGATTTTAAAATTGTTTATTCTCAAAAGTTTTGTCTTAAATACTTCAGGAGGTGCATGAGTACTACTGATCTATGGATTAGATTAATTTAAGTGGCAATGTTAATTATAATTAGCATCCACACACATCTCTCGTATGTCCCAAATAACCCTTCTCTTCAGCCAGTCATGTCATATTTCGCTTGTAATTCCAATTTTTTTTATTCCATGTTAATGCCATATAAATAATTTGGTGAATTGTGCAAATGATTGTTTGGAATTAGGCATTATTATAATTGTCAATAATTGTTGTAAACCAATGAAAAGGAGCAGTTAGTTCTTAGTAAGATTACTTTATTGTCTGCCATGTTGAACGATGAAAGCATTATAAGAGTGATAATCAGCTTTTGGCAATCGAAGTTGACTAATGGATCTGGTATGTAGACCAGTATGCTACACACTCAAGATTCATTTTGTTGTTAGTTTTGTTCCCACATATTTCAAATGAATGGGAAGGATAGAGAGGTTATATGAACATATATATATATATATATATATATATAGCAGAAAAGAGTGTGGGTACAGATTTTGAACAAAGTCAGACATAAACACTACATACAACAGATTACACATTGACATTGTTATGCAAAACTTTGTTACAAATCGCAATTTGTAATGATTTTCATACATAAGACGTATCAATCTGAAACATACATTTGTATACTCAGATTTAAGTAAGTTAATCTTATCAATTATATCGAATTCAAACCAATACTTTATTTAGTTTCTCTTTTTAATTGTACAATTTATAATTTTTATAAATTTTTTCATAATTTAAATATTTTAAAAATGAACTAACTGAATAATTACGTAAACAAATCGTTTTATGTGAGACTAGTGGTGTCAGGGAGCAGTTTTATTTTAAAATATACATGGTATATATGTGAGTAACGAATATAAATAATTTAAAGTTCTAATACCAAAATGAAATAAACATGAAATTAAATAGAACCATTGAATAACAATTTTTTATAGTCTGCATCCGTAGACTTTTGTAAAAAGCAACCAATATTTTTAATATTTAACGTTGCTAGTTCGATCGTTGCATTTTGTTTGCACCTGACTTCGGTTTCTGATCACCGTAAATCAATTGCCAATTATTTGGATGATTATAACCTAAGAAAAGTGGTAAATGAAGAAATAAGCTGATATGTGCCTGTTGTATGTTTGTTGATATTTGTATCCAATTTCTTAGCCATTCAATCATTTCCTCATTACTCAAATTTGAAGGATTGAGCCCACGGATAAAGCAACTATATTTAATAGCTTCTTGCGGCATATTATGTATGCCACCTTCACGGACAATTGCTAAATCCATGAAGTGTATTAAAAATGCAAGTTCCTCTAACCTCCGCCTTTTAAATAATCCGCCAGACATGCCATGCATTTTAATTAGTAATTTCTAAAGAGTGGAATAAATGAAATAAAATATAGTTTATATTTTTTAATAACTTACTATATGCTTGCGGTTCAGAGAATACAAATTATAGGGTGGGTGAGCAAATATATCTTTAATTTCCAATACAGCTTCGACTGTGGGATGAAAACCACTGCCGATTAATCCCAGTATATTATCAAATTCAGTGTAGTGTTCATTATTGATAACATTATGTAACTTTGCTTGTAACTGGCGAAAAACTGGTCTATTATTGCTTAGACGTTCTTTCATCTTCAGCTGTTGGAATTCAGCACGTTGCTGTATTGTCCAAAAGTGCGCTGATAAAAATGTTCGTGGATACATAAACCTTAAAAACAATTTCATTAAAATAAGCTTTTGTGAATATATATGACAGCAACTTACACTAAAGGAAAAATGGCATAACCAACTATGGGAAGAGATGATAATATTATAGCTGGTGCTACTTTAAACATATCACGTGGCATTTGCATATAAAGTTCCAGTTCTTTACGATTTAAAGCTTTCATTCCCTCCGGCGAGGTGTTTGAAATGCGTGTTATTTTCAAGTAACGTTTCATATCCGCATAGAACTCTTTTACGCCATCAAAAAATACTCTGTAAACTTTCATAGCCGAAGGGAAATTTTTTTCTAACACCTTATCATAGTTCTTAACATAGTCAAAATATCTGGTGAAAACATATCCCTTAACATTTTCTCGCACCACACCCGGTGACAATTTTTGTTTTGTTGACACTGTTGTGCGACTGCTATCGATTCCAGAAATTTCACTATTTGAATGCGTTGATGGCATCTCTTCATCAGGCCATGAGAAGGTAGACTTACTTTTAGGATTTGTTAGCGATTTAACAGGCTTTAGTTTTTCTTCAGCCGACTCACTTTTTCAGAATAAAAAATATTGTTTAAATGTCAAGTTATTTCAAATAGTTACGTTACCTTTTTGAAGTGCACAGACGAATGTGGCTGCATTTTATTTTCTTTGCTTGCTGGCATAATAACGTGTTGCATGCCGGTATGCGGCAAAGTTTAAGAGCCAGCGCCATTGCAGTTTCCTATGCAGTATTGGCAGTGGTGACACCTTAAAATGGCGACGTCACAATTTCCTTTACAATTTAACTAGTTTTTTATGCTTAAGAAATTGAAATCTTATGAATGAATAACAAAGTTAATAATCTAGTGAAAAATGTAAATAAAGACATATGGTGTGATGGTAAATGGAAAACAGGGCACACACAATACTAATGCTGTCAAATGGTTGTTTCAGTTTACACGTAGATTCACAACTTTTGTATAAAGTTTTAGCGTGCAGCGATGCAAAACTTAAAACTTAAGGGAATATTATACGAATTTATATAAAGTTTTTATTTAGTATTAAATTCGATTTTACCGTCAGATATAACGGCAGTGACTATTTTACCTAATAGAAATACTATTGTATTTAATAGACAGGTTCCGAATATTAATGAAGTACAACAACAAAAATTATGTCTTTATTATTTTAATTAATTGAATTTTTGGCTAACCATACAGTTGTTACAAGTATTGCCAAATACCCCCATCATTAGTAGTCTTGGAATTATTTCTAATACTTAATTATTCATAAATAATTTTGTGCGACTACAAGTACTAAGGGCCTTGTCAAATTTGAAGGTCAGAATTTTGGGTTTTAGAAACAATTTTTGTTGTTGCAGTTTATTACATTTCGAAACTTCACTGTTTTAATTTAGTCTTAAAAATTAAATAAAATCTGTTTAAAATATAATAAAAAATTAAATCCAACTTCAGAAAAATTATTATATCATAATCGTTTTTATTTGAAATATGTTTTACAATATAATTTGTCGAGCCATTTTCGTCGAAACTCTTCGTTTTATATAAAAAAGATGGGTTCATTGGAATATTGGAAACACTATTCTCCAACTAAAAGCAATTAAAAATGAGTTTAATCAACATATTAATCTATTTTTTTAAACTAATTGGATACTTTTATCTGTTCCATGCTATTGGCTATTACATTTTTATGAAGATAAATGCACAATGTTTATAATATACATTTAACGGATCATAGAGGTAATTCCACAAAAGTTCACACAAATGAACCTGAGTTAGCATATATCAAATCCAAGGGAAATACAGATTTAATTACGAATAATGTAACAAATCATGTAACATGTAATTATATAATGTACTACATATCGAGAATCAAACTATATCGACATTAATTTAGTGAAAAAACTTGTTCAAAATAGCGAAATATACAACAATACCTCATCAAATTGTCATCACTCTAACGTACTTCTCTGTGTGATTATTTTATGAGTACTACTGGGATTGCTAGTATTAATTTATGCTTTCACTCTTTCTAGCTTTATAATGCTATGTATTGTAAGTGGAAATAACTTTCTTCTTTGAGTCTTTACTAAACCCCATGATTGGTCCGATTGCATTATGTTGTTGATGGGTCTGAAACTGTTTTACAGTAATATTTGCTGTTTTATCAAACGCAAAGTTTCTGTATAAAAGGCTGTACTTGATATTTTTTTTAAAGATCAACATTTTATTTGTAATGCTTAGCATTCTAGTAAAAAAGGTTGCATTTTTTATACAGTATAAAACTACATACTTTATTTGTTCTCATTTTCTTTGAGTATGGTCTTGACCATAAGTTTCTTTGGATTGTGATTGGTTTTCTGGTGATAAAGATAACTTTTATCATATTCCCATTTAACTTAGTTTTCGACTTGCTGAAGTATCTTGGTAATTAATTAATGTGTTACTTTAGGTGAGCGTGAATAAAATACTCTTGTTTGTCAGATATCATCTATATAATTAAGTGAGTAAAATTTTTAATTGCTTTTATTAAGTGACGTTTGAGACGATTGAGTGCAAAAGTATGCTTTTTTTATTTCATCACATTGTATACATGTAAGTAAGTATCGATCGTTTACAGATATTATGCTATTCTTATTCTTGGCGGACATACAGTATCATCTTATATGGTCATTGTTTGATTATCGTGTTTGCGACAGTCGTTACTATTTTCAGAGAACAGATGTAGTTATTTGATGCCGAAATAAGTTCTCCAATAAAATATATTTGATTGTATGAAAGACAGTAGTGTATCTTTCGTCTTAGATACAAAGGGTATATATTGTTCTTAACGGATTATACTGTCAGTGACAACCCACTATTAACATCACTACTTAATACTGACAAAATGATATCAGTATGTGGTTGGATCTATCTGCTGAAGTATACAGTACAGTACAGTACAGTACAGCACTGAGTACAGCGAAGTGTTAAGTGCATATATCCACAACCACAACCAATAAAAAAATCACTTAGATCGTATGCACCATTAGGAGAAATGAATTTAAATAAGAGATATTTTATAATATATATGGAATTTTCTGATTTTTTAATAAATTAATTAAATTTTTTTCATATTTGTTATTGATATAGAGAATAAGTATTCGTGTGCGCTATGTAACGAAAAGCGAATATATTTTTGTTAATAAATTGATATGATACGCAATGTCTTTAAATGAGTCTTTCTGGTCGTTTTAGTGTTAAAAAGTGTAGCTGCGCATTGGCGTCTTCTCCTTGCCATTGAAAAATCTGTTAGCGGTTGTCTTTGGCGTCAGTTGAGCAGAAATTCAGTTCTTCACAACAAGTCTACAAGTTAAGTACGAGACACGGTAAAAGCAAAAGTGCTTAAAGCGTGTTCATCTTAATCTGCATCCAGACGTGTCAGTATTGGAACGCGTTGCCTTCATGGCTCAGTATTTGACTTTGTTTATATGCAATGTGATTAAAAACTATATAAAGTGATTTAAAACATAAAAAGTGATAAAGGGAATATAATCAAAAATAAATGAAGTGTGATTTGTGATAAAAATTCTTAATTGAAATGCAGTAATTCTGTTTTTCACACCGTTTTCAATTTAAATAATTTGTATCCAATGCAAAGCTATTCATGAAAAGATCCTTGAATTCCGAAAACAAAAAAATTTAAAACAAATAAATAGAAACATCGCTACATATTTTTAAATGTAATTTTTTACACACTTGTCCCTCACACTTTCTGTTGGATACACATAAGTGTGTGCCGTTCGTTGGTGCGTGGTGCATTTATTAGATACATGCAAATGTAGTATCTACAATGAAAACAAAACGTGAAGTAGAAAAGAGGACTGCCTGGTACTGCCAGGCCAGTGCCTAAACATAGAGCAATTCAAGCACTTGGTGAGCTTGTGGTGTCAAACGAAAACAAACACTAAAGTAATGACTCAAGAAACATGTGTGCATGATTTCTCTTAATTTTTGGGTATGGTCGGCAGCATTTTTTTAATATATGCAGCTAGGATCTAATAGTTTGCTTTATATCAAAAAGGATATTTGCAAGACTTCACGTTAAATGTAAAAGAAGATTCTATTCAGATTTAATGATTATAAAGTTTCAATTATAATGTAATTTAGTGGTTTTGGTATTGTCTGGTTTATAACCTTGTAATACAAGTCCTTGAACGAAGTGTTAAGTTTTTAATATGTTAAAGTTGAGTACTTGTAAAACTTTTTGAGTAGAATGAATTGTAGTCTTTAGTGACAACTAACCTATATACAAACTTACAATATCGTATCATTAACACAATTGTGTAGGAAATGTAAAATTGTAAAAAAACGATAATGTAAGAGTCCCTTCATTAAATTGCTCAATAAAAATCATCATCATCATCAGCAACAGAACATTTTATTTTTATCAACTTTAGTACATTGATTTTAATTTTCTTCAGATTCACATTTATTATATTGGAAAGTAATAAGCTCCGCAAAACGTTTGCAATGCTTTAAAGTGTTACAAAGATCACGCGAGATACCATATAAATTAAACATATCCTTAATCAGTATGACAAGACGAATATATTTATTTTTTACTTTGCTTACTCCAACTCAGAGAATCACATTCTGTTAGTAAATGGGGTGTCCTACATATGGTTCCTAGGTTTGTTAAGCTTAGTGGATCATTTGTTTCGTGAGGTATTATATCCTGCATGAGAATTCAAAATTCTTCCAAACCGGATCTCATGTTTCAGTGAAAGATATAAATCTTTTTTAAAGATAAAAGATCATCAATGTAATCTCTGACAAACTTATGTCTATCTGTATTTGTCCAGAGCCATTCCTATCATGTTAAATTATGACTGTATGAATCATTTTCTTTTGTCTTATAAATACTTTATCTCCTACTGAAACATCTTCTAATAATTTGGTTCTACAATCTCATTCTTTACTACTGTTAACATAGGCCCTAAGTAAAAAGATAAATAGGGTAAATTATGTTATTAGAATAAATAAGTTATTGGATTTGATTTCTAGACAAAGAATTCAACGGTTGTTCTAGTATCATACAGTACTATCATTATCTTCTGATTGTTTTTCAATGATAAGACAAATTAGTTTGTGATTAGTTTTATAATAAAATTCTTACAATTATGTATTAGAGTTTTAATTCAATTTTTAATAGGTAAAATGTAAAGGTAAAAGTAATACTTTAATGACACAATATCCATATTTATTTACCCAAAAAATTTTAATGCAAATATTTTTATTTGCTGATAAAACTTTTCTTATAGAGACTAAGTTTAGTCATTAGAAAGTTTTACTTTAGTAAATTGAAAAAGAAGAAAGAAATATTTTTAAAAACAAGTTTTATGTTTTAAGTTGTTAAAATCCATTGGTGTGAGAAGTTTGTAATGGAGCTTCTTTAATGATTGTTTTGCAGTTTAAATCCGTGAATTAGGATTCTTGCTAAAGTAATATATATCCAAAAGAAAAATTTTAAATTTGTTTACATTTTCGTTTATATTAAAAACTTTATTAAAACTTATAAAAATACATTATTGTTTTTTTTTGTATATAGCAGTTAGGTAAAGACTACATAATCCAAGAATATCTTCCTGGTCATTGTTAAATTTGTGTTCGAGTTAAGTTTTTAAAAAGAATTTACAAGTTTTTCTAATAAGAAATGTCAAGCTTTTCACTTTTTCAACTTAGATCTATAGACACTAGTTCGAAAGCAGACAATCTAGGTAATACATAAAGCTGAAATATTATAGAATCCATAAGTTCAAGTTTTATTGATCTATGTGAACTATTTAGAGGATATATGGATTTAT